GTGCGCGCGTGCGTGTGTGTGTGTATGTGTGTGTGTGTGTGCACGCGCGCNACGAGTGTGCCGAATGCTGGTGGTGTGCGTGCGTGTGTGTGTGCCCGCGTGTGTGTAGTCGCGGCGCCGTGGCATGTGTGTGTGTATGTGTGTAGTGTGCACGCGGCGCGCGTGCGGTGTGTCTAGGTGCGTGTGTTTGCGTATGTCTGCGCGCTGCGTGCGTGCGTGCGTGCGTACGTGCGCGCTGCGTGTCTGTCGTGTGAAAGTGCGTGCGCTGTGTTGACGTACGTGCGGAGCTGAGTGTGTGTTGGGTGTGTGTGCGTGGTGTGGTATGCGTGTTGCGTACTGACGTAACGTACTGTGCGGAGCGTGCATGTGTGTGTGGCGTGCGTGCGTTGCCTGGTGCGTGCCGTCGTCGTGCGTGTTGTGCGTGCGTACGTGTGTGTGTGTGCTGTGTCGCGTGTGGTGCGCGCGTGCTGCGCAGTGGTGCCGTGCGTGGCGTGTGCGATGCTGTGCGGCGATGTCGTGTGGTGCGTGGTGTGTCGTGGGCGCGCTCCGCGCGTGCCGGTGTGTGCGTGTGTGCGTAGCGTACGTACGTGCGAGCGTGCGTGACTGTGTGTGGTGTGTGCGAACGCTGCGCGTCGTGCGTGCGTGTCGCCGTGCTATGTACGTGCGAGGCCGTTTCGTGGCGTCGCTGCGATGTGGTGTGTTGTGTGTATTCGCGCCGCGTGTGCGTTGTGTTGTGTGCGTGTGTTGTGGCGTGTGGTGTGTGTGACTCTGTGTGTGTGTGTGTGTGCCGCGCGCGCGCGCGTGCGTGCGTGCGTACGTGCGTGTGTGTGCGTGTGTCGCTTGTTCTACCCTCGTTAACAGACACACGATATGGTCTATCATCAAAACACCACGTTACGTAACAGCCACGTTACTTCTATCCTGATCTCCAATGACTCTAAAAACCACTTCACACCTACTAATCAAAAGTTGCGGTTACGTGAAATGTGAGGTGTGTATGTCCTGGATCTCCAGAAACTGAATGCAGCCGCGAACCTTTCCTTCCTATTTCCACCAACTGGAGCGCCCTCCCCCCTCCCCCTCCCCCTCCTCCGATGTCGTGAGCAGTAGGCCTACTGCAAGACCTAGCCTACTGTTCCTCGTTTTCTCTGCTTAAAATGATCAGAGTTCCGTCTCTAACCAACAGATTCTACTCGCCGACGGTTGCAAAGCTAGCTACCAGTTAGACTGCGACAAACGTCGGTTTAACCTTACCGCTCGCGCGCACCACTGGCACGACTTGCGGCTTGACGCAACGACGGAGTGCCAGTCTAAAACACAGTCGGCCATCTCCTCGAAAATAATACTTTTTTGTACGGATTCGATTTCGATAGTGAATCCGCTGAACGTCGTTTTCGTAATCGCGTTCAAGTACATTGTTATCGTGCGAGCCGACAGCATCCGCTCTCTATCTACCGCACATGATTGCCTTCTCTTTCTGCGGCTTTCTCTCTCTCTCTCTCTTTCTCTCTCTCGTGTAGCGACGCAAGCCATGTCTTATAGGAGAGCCCGAGGAGATGTGAGGAGAAGATTTCTTGCATCAGCAAACGATGCCCTAATCTGAGCATTGCGACCTGACTGCAGTGTGCATGACAGAGGTAAATAGATTGAGATGGATGACGAGAGAAGTGGGAGAGGGAGGGAGGGAGATATAGAGAGGAGAATGAGAGACGAGAGAGATATAGATAGATAGATGAAAGGAGAAGAGGAGAGAGGAAGAGAGAGGAGAAAAGAGGAGTGAAAAGAAAGAGAAGGTGAAGCAAGGGCGAGCCAATAATAAGATAAAATTAAAACGAGGAAAACGATAGATGTAATAGAGAGAGGAAGGGGTGAGAGAGAGGAGCGAGAGGGGGGGAGCACGCCAGAGATAGCAAGCTCGAGAGAGACAGTGGTGTGTGTGTGTGTGTGTGTGCGCGCGTGCGTGCGTGCGACCCGCGTGCGTGCGTGCGTGCGTGCGTGCGTGCGTGCGTGCGTGCGTGTGAGAGAGAGAGGGATAGAGACAAATATAGTAGTACAAAAAATAGGGTAGAGAGAGTGAGAGCGACAGACAGACAGACCGACCGAAATACATACATACAGACAGACAGAAAAATAGAAAGACAAACCGACTGGCCGGCAGGCAGACAATCAAGCAGAAAGAGTGGGGATCGAGAGTAGATATATAGATTTAAGGAACTGGCAGAACGGGATAACGGGTCAGGATTATGATGAGTCAAATGAGACTATGTAATACGTGTGAATGTATACGATATGAATCTTATAAAGCTCGGCCACATCAAAGCAACACGGAGGTTGCTCTAGAACTATCAGCCATGTTCAATCCAAACCCCGCTACTCAACATACCGAAAAACCATCAGTCAAAAGTCGTTTCTGGCATGAAACGTTTTTCCCACAAAGAGGTAATTATTTTACCCAACAACTGCGACACGAAAAAGCGGCAGGAGGCCATAAAACAGCCGACGAGAGAAGATCAAAGTTGTCAGGTGGGGCAACGGTAGCAGACGATGAGAAGGCGGATATTGGAAAACCAAAACATTGTCTAGCCGAGAGCCTGAAACACTCGAGGAAATTAAAACGAGACTTTAGAACATTAACTAAAGGTCAACCCGCGTAACAAGATTCTGCGGCAGACGAGGATGGGAATGTATTTATAGCCGCATTGCTAACAGAGAGTACCACCCTTAAAACGATGTATGTGTCCGAGTACTGCGGTCATGCGGAATTTTACGCAAGAAAGAGGCAAACCGGCATAAAATTTAATGACAACTTATTACATTTTAATTATTAGATTTACAATACAACTTATGATGCAATTTAAGGACATAAACTGTTGGCAAGATTTGTCGTTTGATTAGCGGTTGATTTGCTAGAAATGTAGGTTACGTAACAATCATTTTTTATTGGAAAATTTTAAATGTTTGTTGAACTTTCTATGCCCGCGTAAACTAAACTGCAGCGAAAGCGACAGGTTGGATAACTTAATTTTGAATATAATGCGCAAAAATACAGAGTTATATTATGGATAGAGAAAATGCGCGCACGTACGCACACGTAAATAAGTAGTAAGTAAAAACTTTATTTAACGACGGTAAAACATGTTGGGTACAGACACAATAAATATGGGTATAGACGATTTGTTATACAGAAAGTATAGTTTTATGCAGTAAGATTCTAGAATCTATAGTATCCCTTTAATTCACTCATCCAAACGTTCAACCTAATATAGTTACAATATAATAAATTTCGTGTGACATAGAATGTACAGACTCAGTATATACGATACATAAGACAAGCATTATATCACAGATATATTTTTAGGTCTTAGTACATCAGTACTTCAATATTTAGTAGATACATATATTATAAAGAGCTAATAAATACCTGTTAATTATCAGCTCTTGATATTATATGTAATATTCCTAATATGTTTAGCGGTTCAGTGTTACGACGAAACTCTATTTAAAATGTTGATAGAATGGTGGCTTATACACGTGAATATATATCTACATAAATCCACAAATACTTCTATTATATTATGATAGATTATTAGTATTAATAAATAGACCAGAATTTTTCTATAGGCTGCGGTTGCAGAATATTTTTAGATTTCCGAGCAGCGTCAATATCACATCACATAGAATGTCATTATGAATGTAGCTGCTAATCCCAAGACAAACATGATTATCGTCTGCAAAGTTGTCAAAATTTAGACCCGCTTGCACCACATTATTCTATTTCTACGTGTGGCTGTACATGGGTTATTAGATTAAATTACTCGAAATATGTTACAGGCTTACAGCTAACAAACATAGTGAATTGCGTAGATAGCTCAGAGCTTCGACGACAAATTCCAGGATGCTTTGCTGGTGCTCACCATAATTATATAATTACCTACCACATGCACTAAACCCTAGTACAGAATCTACATTTATGAGACATTTCCATCAAAATAGTTCTATGTACAAAAAACCTGAAGTAAACCAAATATTTTTTAATTATACAAGAAAAATGTATGACCACGAGGATTACCTCAAGACAATCCTCAAACCAGCTCCATCACTACTATTAATATATATAATTATATAACATAACTATTAACTATATATGCATAATATATCGCACAAGTGGCTCACTGCACAAATGGTAATCAAAAATCTGTCAGTTCAATGCGTAACAGACACGGTATTTGCTCACTGCATATTCTTCAACATTCACATTTCCAGTTACAGTGGACCCCCGAGATACGAATTTAATTCGTTCAACATATTTGTTCGTACCTCGAAACTCGAACCCGATATAGGACATAGAGCAATTTACGTTCAGCAAGTGGAATCATGCGAGCACAACCACACTCAATGAGTCACGTACTTAAACTGACTGACTCACCGAAAGAGCGCGCGCTAGGCCTATGTCCTGATTGGCTGATGCGTAAGACGTTCGTATGTTGAATTTTATTCGTTTATCGAATACATAACCTTCAACGGGAGGTTGTTTAATTGTACCTCGAAAATTCGTGTGTCGAGCTGTTCGTATATCGGGGGTCCACTGTATTTTAAAATTATCCCTACAGATAATACAAAACATATAGACATGTGACTAAGGAAAAAGCCTGCTGCAAAAACTTATCAAGACAGAATATCATCTTATAGACAAACCCACATAAAAGTTCTATTCGAGGTCAACAAACAACGATCACTTAGTCGACATCTAACTAAAGACGAGGAGAGATAGACGAGGAAGAAAGCTACTGCCACCTTCTTACAAATCTAGGCAATAGAAATAGCTCGACACACGATAACTGGCGATAACTGGTGTACTACAGCCGTCGTTGGCTCTGCCAGAGGCCTGTGGACACTCTGCCTGCAACAAAAGTCAAAGACGGCTATAGTTCTAGAGTTAGACGCATGAAAGATTCTAAAACTTCACATCCGACGGCGACAGGGCTCGGTTGGAAAGCATACGTCTATCTCGCTCCGTTGACGACCGCGACGATTATCGGCTGTCCGGTGGCACCGTTGTCGTGGCTCCCATGCATGCCGCTATGCAGCCGGCACATGCCGCTATGCAGACGGCACAGCAGAACGTGATGCCGACGACGGCAAGGCTGAGGGTGAGCGTCGCAAAGGCAAACAGGTACACCGTCTGATTGCAGTAGTTAGTGTCGCCGGGATACGCCGGCTCGAATGGCGGCTGATAGATTCTGTACACCCACGCGCAGCCGCAAATGAACCACGCGAGCAAGAAGCAGCTGATGAGGCTGTCGATGGGACCCTGCCTGACGTTGTCATCGTCACCAAGGTTACCGGTACTGTCGCTGTCCTGCAGGCGTAGCCGCGCACGATGACACAGACTCATGACGCTCTTCAGGAGTCCGAAGCATCCGCCGACGATGAGGTAGACTGGGATGAACCTGTCTATCGGGCAGTCGTGTAGGTAGACGGACCCTATAATAATCATCGTAATAGGCAGGGCCAGCGTAATTCCAAGGCATATTGAGCAACCAATTGTCCCTAGAACAATAACCAGAATTTTTTTTAGGAACTCCAGACAGCCATTAGACTCAGTCCTCGCCTGCTTGATTTTTCCAAATATGGTAGTATATGAAGGTGGTGGTTCTTGAGAGTACGGAGACTCATCATATGGTGGAGGCTGAGTGTGTCCCTCACTACCAGCCATATTACTGTCTAGTGTGTAGGGAGGTGGAGAGACTCCAGGAGGTTGAGTAGAACCATAGGTCTCTCGCATCGTAGGATTGTACATGCTGGTAATAAAGCCTTTCAATCTGACGCTTCCTAACTTGTATTGTAGCCTAAAATTGTAACAATCATATGTAAGCTGATAACTTTGCATCCTGTTGAGCTCGAGTAATAATAATAAAATGGCCGTGGCTGCTCGACCGGTTCCGGCCGTGTAGCCTCCCTCGTCCGCAAAGCCTGTACGTACACGCGTCGTACACGTGCGCGCGCGCACACACACACACACAAACGCACGCGCGCGCACACACACACACACACCACACACACACACACCACACACACACACACACACACACACACACACACACCACACACACACAACGTACGCGCGGAAAAGAAATCTTTCGCGTGAAGGGGTACTACCGACGCAGCGAATACTACCGAAGAGGATCGTTTTAGAGGCGGCGATTCTACTTGCGAAGCTGCGCGCACCTTTCGGGGCGCGAAACATCTGACACCGAACTGCGCGCAGGGCGCGGCAGTGAAGAGGCCGACGCCGTTGCAATAGCAAAACAGAACCGGAAACTATAGGCCTGTGTCAATTTTAAGTGTCATGTCCAAAGTTTTGGAGCGAATAGCCTATAACCAAGTAGAGAAATATTTAATAGAAAATTCCTTAGGCCTATACTGTACGAGTTCCAATCTGGCTTTAGATCAAATTTCTCAACTGACACAAGTTTAATCCATCTAACTGATATTATTCGTAATGAGTCGGACAAAAGAAATCTAACTGGTATGGTTTTATTAGATCTTCAAAAAGCTTTTGATACCATTGACCATAAAATTCTACTAGCCAAGCTAAAAACTATCGGAATGGATATTAAGACTGTTAAATGGTTCGGTGCTTATCTCTCTGGTAGAAGCCAAATAACTGATGTAGGAGGTACCTTTTCTAATATGGACCCTATTGTATGTGGAGTACCACAAGGCTCGATTTTGGGTCCTCTGTTATTTCTGATTTATATTAATGACATGGCAAAGGAAGTTAACGTCAAGCTTTTATTATATGCTGACGATTCGGCCTTAGTAGTCACAGGGACAGAGATACAGGCTATACAGGAAGAATTAAGTAGAGAATTGCATTCCATTAATAAATGGCTCAATGATAATAATTTATCCTTGCATCTTGGAAAAACAGAAAGTATTATTTTTGGAACTAAACACAAACTCAGGGATAATCCAAAACTGGACATCAGATGTAATGGGGTGGCAATTGCACACAAAAAATACAGTTAAGTATCTAGGAATAGACTTGGAAGACTCCATGAGTGGTGAGGTAACGGGAATTAAGGTTGTAAAAAAGATTAACAATAGATTGAAATTCCTTTCCAGAAAAGCTAAATATTTAAGCACAGCATGTAAAAGATTACTAGTTTCTGCCCTAATTCAATGTCATTTTGACTATGCAAGCAGTATATGGTACAGCAGTCTCACAAAGCGCACAAGGGCTAAGCTGCAAGTGTGTCAAAATAAAACCATTAGATGTGTTCTCAACCTAGGTTCTAGAGCACACATAGGTGCTAGAGAGTTCAAGGCTGTAAATTGGGTACCTGTAGAGTTCAGGGTAATGCAACTGAAGGTCAATAGAGTTTTTAAAATATTACATAATCTCGGCCCATAGTATATGACAGAAGGTTTAATGTTAACGTCAGAAGGGTGGGAGGGAAGCAGTGGGAAAAACTTTTTTACTTATACTGCAATTGAAGCTTGGAACTCTCTTCCACAGCAA